AAAAAAAACTGGACTTAATATTTCCATAGAATTAACATCCTCTTTAATGTGATATCTAACAGACTTGAAGGAAAAATTCAAACAAAGATTAACTATCGAATAAAATTCAGAAATAAATGATTTATTAGACTTACTGTGTTGTGACTCCAGTGATGTTGTTAACAAATTTAATTCTCTTGTTGTATATTGCATAATTGGGCTTCTTCAGAAAGAATAATGGAATCTGCACGATTGAGTTTAAAAAAACACAACAGTTATACTGAGCTTCGTCAAGGAAATACCAAATTCTCATTGTTTGAATTTCTAAATGTCAAACTTCAACAATCAAACACTCTGTAAGAACTCACTATGAACCATCAATGTAGACATGGATATTACTGTCTAGATTTTCCTATCAAGCAGGTAGAGCATGATGACAGATCTTAGGACAAAAAGACACACAGACAGACCTGTGCATCCACAAGAGAACTGATAACTATATTTCACTTCAGGTAATGAATTTTCTAGTTAGTGTGAATGATTGCTGGCATTCAAACTGCCTTGATTCTGAGTGATACAATCCAGCCACAAAATAAGGTATATCTTGATCATCCCACTCTGCATGAATAAAATGAAGGGTTTGATCCTAAAAATTTGTACCTTCTCTTTATCAGTGAGTACACAAGAAACCCTCTATTTGTCAAATGTACATGCTAAAATGTGTGTTGAGATCCTGCATGAATCATTGCAGTGATGTAATGACAAGACAACAGAAAATCCACCATAAAAGGATAAAATCTCACCTCCTCTCTAAGTTCCAGTAATACTGAAGAAAGCTGAGTAGCATTTGGCCCACTCTGGAAGGTTTTTTTAATCTCTGGCTTTTCAAAATCTCTTTCACCACTACAAAAGTCTGAAAACAGCACTGCTGCTTCTGAAATAGAGTTTGTAATCCCTAAATTTGAGGGAGATATTTCCAAAACTCTGTCCACACTACCTGGCAGAGGATGTGGCCTCATGTCTTCCTGAGTTGCTCTGGAATATTTGCCAAAAGAGGCTGAACATGTGTCTCTTATTTTATGCTTTGCAACTTGACCTTTTGAAGGCTCCTTAAACCCTTGGGAAGAGGCAGCAAAATCTTCCCTGAGTCTTAAGGAAGGTCTTCCAGTAAATGCATCTTCTTTAAAAACCATTACAACCAACTGTTTGTGATCCATAAGTGGATCGTTATTCCATGTTGATATCAGTGATAAGTCCTTTACATTTTTGTCCAGTTTAACATTTCCATTATTTTGCTTGAGAAGATGAGATGATCGGTGTTTGCTCTTGTGCAAAAAGATTCTTCCTTTTGTTTGAAAAGACAACAAACTTTGCACTTGACCATAGCTGGACTCCTGTCCAGTACCTCTTCTTCCATGTGCAGTTTTCTTCCTTCTGTTCAATTGAAAAATAAAAGGTTTTTGAACCTGTGGGATGAAAAAAGAAGTGAATCGTAAATACTAATCCTGACATTTGCTGTCTATTTACAGGCAGCACTTAAACTGAATATGATGTTGACCAACATCTTCTTGGCGTGAAGTTACTGAGAATAAGCCATTTATCACTGATTATTTGCGTTGAAGGTGAAAATCGGGGTAGTTCTGGCTACAAAGAATCGAAATCCAAGAACCGAGTTTTACAGAAAAATACAGGTAAACATTTTAGCTCAGCCCCATTTTCACGTTATTGTGAGACAAAGCCGAAGTCCCAAAGGAAATCGATTGTGTCTGACCGTTTTCGCCATTGTTTTATTGAACCAGTGATCTCCTTCAGAACGCTAAAGAATGCAGGTAAGTAGCAAAAGCAAAGTCCCGACATGAATTTCAAGCAGCAGAGGAACAAATTACACTAGAATAGCAAATGTAAATAAACAACAAATTTGTACATTACGTACTTTGCAAGGTTGAACTGCCAGCTGAGAATGTATATAGCAAACGACAGCCAATGGTGGTGTTCTTTGCACGTATTTGCACAAGAACTTTGGAGATGTCAAAAGACTTGAAGATGTCAAGGCCATACTTTTTCACATGGAATCAAAACTTTGCCCTATGCGATCTAGAGGCGTTCTTGCATAATACAACATGGCACACTAATCACTTTCGAAAAAGTTCATGAGAGGAATCTGGGTACCAATTTGAGACCCCACTTTCCAAAGCCTGCGGTCTAATTCACTACTCATGCGTATATCCTGTGGTTTTTGTCGGGTTTCAAGATGGCTGCCGAATCACTAAATGATGAATTGGAATACGTAAAACTGTATAGAATTAGGCCTCTTTTACTTCATTTTTACCTAGCACCTTTTATACCCATCTACTTGACATGGATTTACTTCTGGACGATGGTATATGGCGTTACAGATTATTTTGAAGCGGGTCTTATCGCTTTGGCAGCGATCGGAATATTACAAATTCTTTCCATGTTGTTCTGTCACTGGTCTGTTCATGTAAGATGTCTCTTCACCTGCTCATCGGTAAGAATACGTTTGGTTAATGAACACGCTCAGATTTTTGGTCGTGATGGCCAAATTACGGAGATTCATATGAACCAGAACTGTCGACATATTAGACCAGCGAGGGGGATTTCTTTCATTAAATAATTTTATTTAATGTATTTATTTATAATCAAGACAGTATTGTCACGACAGTTTATTACCTCTTTTTTGGATGAATAAAATGAGAGGTTTCAATTAAAAATGAATTCAAGTTCAAAATGATTTCAAACTATTGTTGATTTCAAATACATTAGTACCTCAGTCCACGTCGAAGAAGAAGACATATCAATGTTATGAAAAATAAAAAAAAAGATGCTACTACAACAATTACTGAGGGAACAGCATGGAGAGAAGAATAAAATGCATAAAGAAGAACTGCTTTTTTCTCATCCGTAGGAAAAAAGTCCGACTCTTGCCACAGTAATTAAAGTTGTTCCAACAGCAAATAATGGCTCCCCAGAGCTGCTCAATCTACACCATGAACAAGTAAGTGCTCACTAATGGCAGCCCAGGGCTGCTAGGATCCTCATTTCAAGTTTAGCTTAAAATGGGGGAATAATTACTTATTCAAAGAGGGTGCCCCCTAGAAAGAGTTAGTTATTTAGTCCTCTTTGTGTGCCTATGCATATAAGGTCTCAGCCAGAGAATGCCACTGATTTCTGTCATTTGCCAGTCTATCAAGCTGCCCCCTTGTCTAGTAACTGTCCTGTCTATGCCAGTCCTAAGGCCAGATGTAAAAGAAGGAGGGTTGGTATTGGGCCTGACAACCCTATCCTGTAACCTGAGGTCACTAAATTGATGCCCTATAGAGGAAAGAGCCATTTTACAATTTTTTCCGAGACTGATCATTTTTTTTTTTTGTTTGCATACAGCATTTGTGAGTTAAAAGCAATGTTAACTTTGAATTGAAATGAAAAGCTGATAAGGCATAGCTTTTACTTGTTATCATGTTTCTATACTTAACTTAATATGCTTACAAACTTAAACAAGTATGAAATGAAATGAATACCCACATGAAGGGTGAGGGTGAGAGCATGCAGACCTACAAAAAGAGTTCTAATCCACTATCAGTGCTTGACAGGCTACTATGTCTCAGTGCCTTTTGATAGAGTTTGGGAAGAGGGAAATGATTGTTTATTGTAGATTATGGCTGCTGTAAAGTGCTTTTTGAGGAAGGCACCAATTGGATGATTTGCCATACCTCACAGTCTTCCTTAACTTTTTAGATAATATCTAAAGTTTATTTGGTTTAAATAAGATGCTACTTCAATTATCAAGCTGCAGAGTATGATGGGGAAATTTATTAACAATTATTCACTGAACAATGGCATGTATTTTTAGTTATGTAAATAAATATCAACGTCTTACGTAACCCTTAAACTCCCAGTTCAAATTTGTCATTTTCCTTACTGTCAACCATACAATTCTTATATTGTTAGTTAAGAGAATTTAGCATTGGATCAACTAATTATCCCCAAGTTGATATTTTCCTTTATTCTCATTACTTATCTGGTTGATATTGTATTGATATTGTAAGGAGAAATTCTGTGTGGGTCACTCATGGGAGTTAAAGGGTTAAATTGATGCAAAAAAGAAAAAACAGGACTAAAGTTATCATGACAGAGAACACAAGATGACTGACTTTAGATTAATGAAGTTCAACTGCTTCATTGATAGATGTTTCATTTGTATTTCTTAGGATGGGGAGACACAAAAGGAAGTCATATATTTTAATTTTCAAAAGACTAAGTATGTGTACGATAGTGAAGAAAAGAAACAGTTCTGTCAGGTAGCTTTTCCAGTCAATGAAATTATGGATCATTACAACAGTTGTAAAGGTTATCAAGAGGAAGCAGAAGTTGAAAAAGGCAAGAAAATATACGGATCAAATGAGTAAGTTTTTTTTTGTTAGTTTGAGCATTATTCTTAGTAAAGAAAAGAAAATGTCATCTAAAACTTGATTATAGGAAGTTGTCGTGATGTGAATACTATAATTTTTGAGCTATCATAAATGGCTAAATTTTTTCTGGATTTTCTTAGAATTAAAATGTTCCAGGTTGTCTACACAAATCGTCACATTTTTCTCATAAACCAAAATACCATTTCGTATTCTGACAGCTCCACCTGTTTGTTTCAGTTCATGAAACATAGGTTTAGAAAATGTTGGATTGACTTTTGAAATTTTGGTTATGATTTTCATCAATAAAGGATAGCTTTCTCCTTCCTGTAAATCCTGTAGCTGGGATCTTTGATTATCAAAAAACACAGGAAATAGAGGCAATGCAACAAACCTCTTTTTTGCTGTTGTATTTTAAAATTGGTTCAGTGGTAAAATGTTACACTTTGTTGTAAGTTATGAGTAAACAAGGAAAGATAATAGCTTACAATATCATAGTAGTTTGAAAATGGTTGCAAGGGATGTGGGAAACAAAAATTCTCCCAGTAGTGAGGGTTTTTGTGACTTCCTCTCTTGAACTGTTTGAATTTATTTCTTTATCTATACTTGATCATCAAGTAGTTGCTGAAATCAAAATCTTCAGGGGTTATGCCATCTTTTCATCCTCAGTTTTTTAGTTTTGTAGAATTTTCTATAGATTTTGTGATTTCAAAAGATTATAATTTGCGGAATATTCAAAAAGTGTGCTCAGTATTCTACAAACTGAAATAATTTCTCTAACTTATGTATTTTTTTTTTTTGTTTTATTAGGCTTCAGATGGATGTCCCAGAGTTCAGTGAATTATTCAAAGAAAGAGCTACAGCACCATTCTTTGTGTTTCAAGTGTTTTGTGTTGGACTGTGGTGTCTTGATGAGTATTGGTACTACAGCGTCTTCACTCTTTTCATGTTGGTTGCTTTTGAAGCTACTCTTGTACAACAGGTAGGTGTTGCCTACATGTAGCAAATATTGACCGTGAGGCAATTCAGTTATTGATCATTACTCTCAAGATAATGGCAGGAGATCTCTTGCATATTACGTATTTACCTTGAATTGAGTAAATATTGATTTTGTGGAATTTTCACTCCTTGCAGGTTATTATGGCAGCCAAGTGCTGCAATTTCTCTATGTTTATTTTTTCTCTTTGATCAGAGATATTAGTGTGATATTTTTTTTTAAATCAGTAATATTGTCACTTCACATTGGGTGATTACTGCAAGATATGATACAGGCTCTGACCAAGGAGAGTACCGGTATATTAATTCCTGGCTTCACATTTTAATGTCATCCACTTTTCAGCAATTGAAAAATATGAAGGAAATAAGAAACATGGGAAGCAAACCATACTTGATACAGGTGAGATTCTAAAACAGTTGAAAGCAAAACAAGAGGAATGATATGCTTTTGAAACATGTGTTTCTTTTAATCAATGATTTGTTGTAAAATGTTTATTTTTTTTCTTAAAAAGTTAATAAGCTACTGCAAAAATATTTTCAAATACCAAGGTCATCAAGCAACTCATTATTGAGGGTTTTGGTGTAAATGAAGAAAATCTTGAGAACTAACTCATCCAAACTTTCTCAGAAGACTTGAAAACAAGTTTTAAATGTACTGGTCACATGTATCAATTGTGTTAGTCAATTGTCCATAAAACTTGCAGGTAACTGCAGTCCTGTATCTAACACTGGTATGGTAATTATTTGTTAATGACAGGTGTACAGACACAGAAAATGGAGACCCATCTTGAGCTCAGAACTTCTTCCAGGAGATATTTGTTCTATCGGTAAGCAAAGCTATAATGTTTTGGGAAGGTTCAAGAAGTTTACCTTTTGTTAATTTTCAGTTCATAAGATTCTACTGTTCCAGTTTTCCTTTTACAGGTAGACCAAAGAACTCTGATGTATTGATCCCATGTGATATGGTGCTATTGAGGGGCTCGTGTATTGTGGATGAAGCCATGCTTACTGGGGAGTCTGTTCCTCAAATGAAGGTACAGTGTACATACCAGCACATATAGAGTACAAGAATCATTGTGGATTTGAAAAATAAACAGTACCTTGAAATTGAACTACTCTATAAGGTTATGGACTTGCATGTGTAAATGTGTAGAGTAGACTGAACTGTTAAATTATGATGTCAGTGAAACTGGAGTAAAATCTATTTTTTGTAATAGTCATTGTAAAGTGTTTTGCCTGATTTTCCCCCACATTTCCTTTTACTTGCTGAATTTTGCAGAAGCTTTCTTCCCAAAGCATAATTCACTGTTTTGTTCAGAACATGGGCCTCTTATTGAATTTCTCATCACTTTTAGGAGCCAGTCAAGGATCTGCCAGGTGATGAAGTGTTTGACTTGGAGCAACACAGTAAACTACATTTGTTGTCAGGAGGGACAAAAGTCGTGCAGCATTCTCCTCCACTCAAGACTTCTGCTGGGTTGAAAGGTATTTCACAATGATTTGACAGCAACATGGCAAATTTTTTTTTTTTTTTTGGGAAATTTCAACACATCGGTTTGGTAAGAGAGATAAGGTTCAAAATGGAAAAAAAAAACCAAAAAGAAAAAAGGTGACCAAGGATGGAGAAGATTGGCATAGAAAACAACAAGAAAATAGAACAATCTTGGTACAGTTTTCCAAAGTTAACACACAGAAACTCAATGTGACTAACTCACACA